CTATCATTTCTACTTGACTTTCACTACATCAGTCTTTCCTATAAACATACATATACATTTAGAACTGATTGAGTAATTGTTTTTTTTTTTTTACGTGCTATCAAGCAGTTAATATTATTTTATAATATAGCTGTACAATATTTGGAGGCTCGGTACATGCTGTATGACCGGGAGCATAATATAAAAAAAAGAAATATTGGACTATGGCGGAATACTTGTGAATTAATATAATAGGTTACGTACAGTTTGATGAGGTAGTGGTCTCGCGCCTGTGGCCCCTGGTTGTACAAAAAATATGGATGTAAATTCAACATACCGCCCACCTAAATTTGGCGCAGCCAGATTTAACAATAACAAAAGCAAACACAAAAATGCAAAAAAACGAAGTGATGAGAGGCGGGGAATCAGCTCTGTCGATAAAAGAATGAGAAAGCGAAACTGCCTCCAGCATCCAAATTTACCAAATAAAATTATGAGCAATATGTACATTAATAAAGATACAAATACATATAAACAATCAAATATATGCACACGCGTGCGATAAATATTATATAAAATACAACATAAGGAATTATGAATAGATAAAAGCTACATAATAAATAAATAAATATGGATGAAATTAGATAAAGTGCTATTTACATATGCATTGTAGTAATGCCAATGAAGTTGGACATTGACAAATCCGTCCAATAACGAATGATTCGGCTCTCAAAACCGCAGCCGCGATAAACCTCGCCGCCCACCAAGATGAGCCCAGGAACATTGACAAAAGTAGAGCCGCATTCGTGAGGGGAAACGTGTACCTCGCAATCCCACCGATACGTCAGTCACACATTCTCCGGAAGGAGAGTTACGATGAAAGGTTGATCAGACCACACGGGATGGAAAATCCGCGAAATGTGGGATCGGAAACTACACAATTATTAAACGTATTGACGGAACGAAAACGAGGATCACGAAATGATATACGCACGGTTAGACCTTTGGTAAGTATCAATTCTCTGGGAGGAGAGTTTCGGTAAGCGACGAATAGGACCGAATGGAATTGAAAAATTCGCGAAATATGGGGTCGTAAACCCAATAGATTCGGCCGATCGCGCTTGTACCGAATATGTCTTCACCCTGTAGGTCGCCTCCAGCTAAGTGGCAGACATGATAATGTCGTTAAGCCTTAACACGCGTGTTTTCTCCTTTACTACTCACATTCCCTGAGCCAGGGCAATGTATGCAATTGAAATGGGAGTTCGCGAAAAGGTTATGAATCGGCCGTTGGCGTTCCGGCGTGAAAGCGTCACGCTTGAGTTTAACTCGTGGGTTCCGGCTAAAACTTGCTTTTGAGTGAAGGTAAACAAGGAGCGGCGATCGAAAGGTCGAGAAAAAATCTTCGGGCAGCTGAGTGTTTGGAATACTCGCTGCCGGAAGTAGGAGCCCTATGATTTAAAACCCTCTGGAGGCAACGCGATGCGAGAACTCGCGGGTTATAATACTCTCGCATGAGAGCGTCCTACGCCAGCTGGTATGAGCCGGAGTCGAAAGAAAACGGCGATAGAAGCGAAGCCGGTTCGCCGATAAGCGCATTTTCCAAGTAATGCATTTTACTTATCGGCGTTAAGTGCGTGTTATCATGGACCCGGGACACGTAGGTGTCGCGAAACCGCGTCCACGTCGACAAATCCACGTTAAAAACCGGTACCTCTGTGATCAGAAGTTGAGGCGGATAAAGCGAGGGGGTTAAGCCAGACTTGGTTTTATTATCAACTGTGGCGCGATGCGATTTTAATCTTCGATATCCCGCCTCTATTTTAAGTACCTCCTCCTGAATGGCGTCATAGCCTGTTTCCCAGTCGGGCGGGTAGGCTGAAGCACCCTGGGAAGTGTAAAGCGCATCTAATTCCTCCTATATGGTTTCGAACTTAACCCACATTTGTTTTGTCTCCTCGTACATGACTTTGTATTCGAAGAAGTCCCGACGATATTCGCGGCCTGGATAAACAATTTGTTGAGACCGCGCTTGAGATGGCGAAGCTTACGCTCAAGCGCGTCACCGTGGCCGGAAAAGTCGTTCAACTGTTCGTTACCGCCACCCATGGTTCCCAGTGAATTTATAATTTGAGGAAACAATCACTAAGTATATTTAAAAAAGTCGCAAAATTTTGAGACATCCAAGAAAAATTTCGAAATTTGTCTGATTTAAATTTTGTAAGAAAGATTTGAGAAAAGGAAAACATTTAAAGATTTAGATGAAAATGTAAAATACAATAAATTATCGGATAACTAAATATAATCTGTTAAAATAAATATCTATGCATATAAGCGAATGAAATATAAGCAATAAAAAAAATATTTATGCATATGAACGAATGAAATATGAGCAATCAAAAAAATAATTATGCATATAAACATATGAAATATGAAGTGCAGTTATGTGTTGTGATAATCTGCACGTATATTATTGCCTCCGTATATGAACTAATACAAAAAATTCTCATCTTTTTTTTTCTTTCAAGTCAGATCACGCTAAATGTATCTAAGCTGAAAGCTGAAATAATGCAATAAATTCATGAACTATATAGGCCAGACTTGAGTTATTTGGATGCTGTAGACTTAAAAAACGTACAAAAGGAAACATTTGAGGCAAAAGTAAGCATAACTGTTGTGCTTAATGGAATCAGGCAGACGTAAATGTTGCTTCAAATTGGATTAACTACAATAGTCACTTGCTGGCTGCTTAAGCCGTTTAATATTACGATAATTAAATAATTAAATGCAACATAGGCGTTAATGAATGCCTTTAATATTGAAAATTATTAATTAATTCAAAATAAAAAAAATAATCGAGATATACCCAGGGTTAAATTGAGCATTAAAGAAATCAAACTATTTAAAATACGGGCGTATGTTAACTGTACAATATTGGGGAGCCCAGTACATGATATTGAAATGATGGGCGGATGTTTACAATATTTTCATTCACAAGTATTCCTCACCTGGGGCACCATATGTTCAATATTGGGGGGCCCGGTACATGCCATATGCCCGGGAGCCCTTTTCTTGTGAAATATAAAAAACAAATGTTTTGTGAAGGAATACTTGTGAATAACTCGAAGTTAACCCACATTTATTTTGTCTCCTCTTACGTGACTTCGTATTCGAAGAAGTCCCCACTGCCTAAATCCGCGGCTTGGATAAACAATTTGTTGAGACGGCGCCCGAGATGGCGAAGCTTACGCTCAAGCGCGTCACCGTGGCCAGAAAAGTCGTTCAACTGTTCGTTACCCATGGTTCGAGTGAATTTATAATTTAAGGAGATAATTACTAAATATATTTTAAAAAATTGCGAATTGTGAAAGATTAAAAAAGAAAACTTCGAAATTTGCCTGATTCGAATTTTGTAAGAAAGCTTTGAGAAAAGGAAAATATTTAAAGCTTTAGACGCAAATGTAACATACGATAAATTATCATATGACGAAATCGAATTCCACCAAATAAATATTAATGCATATAAATAAATGATAGATAAATAATTTAATAACATTCATATATATATAAACCAATAAAATATAAATAATTAAATAAATACCTATACATATAAACGAATTAGATATAACCAATATAATAAATATTTATAACAATAAATTAGACATGCATGAAAAATAAGGTAATGAATCTATGTATAAAATCAACAATATGAAATAAAATATGAAACGTGTGCACACTTAACAATCAATAAATATATGAAAAAAGTATTTAAACAGCTAAAATATATATAAATAAATTCTGAATAAAATTCTTTATAAATTATAATGCAACAATTTTAACATAATGCAAAAATATTAATAAGAACAATCACATGTTTTAATATTCTGCTCGTATTATTGTGTGCGTACATTATTCGTACGTTTATAAAATGACAATAATAAATCACGGTAAATGCGTCTAAGCTGAAAGCTGAAATAATGTAATGAATTCATAAACTATATAGGCGAGACCTGAGTTGTTTGGATGCTGGCGACTTAAATACGTAAAGAAAAAAAAAATAGATGCAGCGGCGGAAGTAGGCATAACTGTTTTGCCCAATGGAATTAGGCCTTGAATGTTGCTTCAAATGGTATTAAGATTCACCTGCTGGCTGTTTAAGCCGTTTAATATTACGTTAATTAAATACAACATTGGCGTTAATGCTGTTAATATTGAAAATTTTTAATTGATTTAACGTAAAAACATAACCTAGACGAATCTAGAGTTAAACTGAAGCATTAAACAAATTAAAATATTGAAATGATGGGCGGATGTTTACAATATTTTCATTCACAAGTATTCCTCACCGGGGCACCATATATACAATATTGGGGGGCCCTGCACATGCCATATGCCCGGGAGCCCTTTTCTTGTGAAATATAAAAAACAAATGTTTTGTGAAGGAATACTTGTGAATAAGTAATATGGCTTACATACAGTTTGATGAGGGGGCCACCTTCTCTCTCTCTCTCTCTCCGCCGTTCGTCCAGTGTCCTGGAAATAGCCGAAGTGCTGTAATTCTTCAGGTCTGGTATAGTAAGTAGGCTGTAAGCCGTCTTGTTCCTCACTTCGTCCGCTAGCATCTGACTTGAGGGTCGTAGATAACGCCGTCTTAGAGAGGGGGTGTGCAGGACTAGACCTGACGGGGGGCCCCCGTGTTATTATTTCAAAGCAAACAATACATATGTGGTATATAATACTAAATGATATATAATGATGATAAATATGATATTTAATAACAATGATATACAAAGCATATGGATGTAAATCCAACAATAGCAATATTTTTATTTTTGTGTTTAGTATATTCTAGCATATAGGATATTAAAAGAATGTAAAATTTTACAGAAAATTATAATACTACCACATGGAAGTAAAAATATTATTCTTCAGTTGTTTAAATAAATTTAAATATCCATTTTTAGTATATGAGTCTTCTAATGCTTTTGAGAAGCTGATTCGTAATCTCACAACTGTTTCAGACACTACAGAAAGCTTGGTTGACTTATTCTTTTCACTGTTGTGCTTTTCATAACCCGGAAAAGCATAACCCACAAAGACATCAGGTAATAAACTGATCAAATTTAAAATTGCCAATAATACCTTTTAAATTGTTTAAGCAAATGTATAATTGGGGATCGTTTTAGGCTATAATGTGGGATTTATGAAATAAAAACCACCAGTTTAAATCTCCGTATTAAGTCTGTACCGATTTTCGAACAAGATTGGCTGGCCATTGTGGAATTTTTAACAATATACTTTTAGTTGAGTGACGGTCACCATTATAAAACCAACACTGGAAAACAAATTGAAATATAATACTTGATTGTTTTTTTCTGATATTTTCTTTAGTTGCGAAATTTCTTCTTTTTTTTTCCTGGAGTAGTTGGCAAACATAACTCCCTTAAGGTTATAGTTCATTTTGTTATTTTATTTTGTTCTAATTATTCAGGGATGCCCATCCTCCCTAAGGTCAATCGGGCATGAACCTCCCCCCTTTCTAATATATTTTATTATTCTCCTCTTCTCAAAACCAGTGTAAGCGAAAATAAAATGTAAAAACTAGTCAATGATATATTCCGTCTCCCGCCTGGAACCAGAACCTCTCGCACCGACAGAAGAGTAAGTTGGCGACAATACAGCGAACGGCATTGCTGCGGGTCACCAGGGCGTATCGAAGCGTATCCCATGAGTCGGTGCAGGTATTAGCAGGAGGGGTACCTCTCGACCTTCTCCTGCGAGAAGACATGATGAAGCACATGTTTAAGAAAAACGGCTCAGCAGGTCTACCGGAAAATCTTAAGGTGAGAATTGACGAGAATCCTTGCAATTGGAAAAACATTATACGGGACGACACATTAGAGGAATGGAACCGGCGGTGGGTGATAACCCCCAAAGGATCTACCTTGAGGAAGTACTTTCCCACAGTCCGGTCACGTTTAGAAGCAAGGTGGATCGTCCCGGACTATTGGCTCTCGCAATTTCTCACAGGCCATGGGGCTTTCGAGCAAAGCTTCATTGCCATGGGATGGACATCGACCCCCTATGCCCTAGCTGCGGAGTTCCGGAGACTGTTGAGCACATCATAGTGGACTGCACCGCCTTTGAAGAACTAAGGGCTTAGTTACTGAGGGAAACTGGTCTCTACATTCTCACAGAGAACGATTTTCCTCAGTTAGTCACTGCGGAAAACTACCCGTACTACAAAGATTTTGTGTACGGGTGGAAAGTCGCGGTGGGACCAGCCCATTTTAATTTAAGTAGAGGAGGAAGAGGTACTATACCATTGGCGGGAAACGGACGAGAAAAGCAACCATGAAGAAAGGGGGAAAAATGAAGAAAGAGCAGAAGAACAAGATTCATTTGCAGTAGTGAGATGTTAAGCTGACCGGCCCAACATCTTACTATTGCAGACACCCGTATTGCCTACTAGGCACGGCAGGGTTGATAAATAAATTTAAAAAAATAAGTCAATGATATACAGTTACATTTTCTGCGGTCTGTTCCATGTTTTCACCATTTGCCCTCTGGTTTGAAGGATTTCATTTAAAAAAATTGCCTCCCTCAAAAATTCAAAAATCCCTCAAAATGTGCCCCCCTCAAAACTTTTAATGGCTCAACTTGCGCCATGAAATCTCCTTCTGGGCGCTCCTGTTTCACTCATCAGAATGTTATTTTCATTTGCTCATCCTACTCTACAATTCAAGTGATAATTACTGATACATTTTTAAATATTCTTTATTTACTAAATTGATTAGTTTGTATAATTTACTTTCTTTTTGCTACTTCTAGTATTATTGCCTAGCTTATTGTTATTATTCTTAACTATTGCCGTTATTATTATTGTTTTAATACTTTTTTCACAATGCACAAAATTTTGTTGTTCATTTTCTATAATTATTCCTACTCCAGAGCTATTCTTTCAATTTTTTTTTGTTATTATTTACATAGACTCTATCCCTAAGGGTCATTGGCTTAATGTTTCCATTTTATATTCGTTGATAAAAGTCAATATCTTTTAAATATTTGAGCAGTTTTCCTCATCTTGCAGAATTTCTTTCATTTCCGTTCCCATTTGTAAATTTTTCCTTATATTAGTACACCTTCTACATTCTAATAATATATGCTTTACTGTTCTGGGTACTAGGCAATGTGTGCAAGTTGGGGCTTCTAATCCTTGCAGGAGGTATCCATGAAAAACTCACAGTTTCCGATTTTTAGGCGACGTAGTATCACTTCTTCTAGTCTAGACTTTCGGTTTGATGTGTTCCATTTTATACATTTTTTTTATTTCTTGAAGTTTTGCCGAACTTATTGGTCATTCACTGTTTCATTTATTTTGAAAGGAGAAGGCAAGTTGGTGTGTCCAATCTTCTAGAGGAATAGTCTAAATTATTGTGGTTTGTGCAGTTCCTTGATGCCGAGTGGAATTGGCTGTATCATCGGCTCTCTCCCAGATAAGGACTATATTTTTATTTTCTTCCTTTATTTCACCGTATGTGTTAAATATTTTTGTTATAACAGGATGCTGGTTTGTTGATTGTTCTATGGCTTCTATTAAGGACATTGAATCGATTACGATAGCATGATTTTGAAAGCGGTTTGTGCGCATGTGCAAGAATGCTTCTTTTATGGCCGTTGCTTCTCCCGTAAAGATAGAACATTCTGGAAGTTTGTACAGGAATTCTTCACTGTCTGTAACGACTGAACATCCCACTTGGTTTTCGACTTTGATGCATCTGTGTAGAAAATTTTGTAGCTGTAGTACTTTTTAAAAATGTTAAAAATTAGATTTATTTTCGTCCATAATTAGCGGTTTTTTTCTAGATGTTGGAGATATATTTTTCTGTAGACATATTCGGAGGCTCCACCTTGGAAAGTTTTTATCTGGCAGTTTATGGATGCAATGCAGGGTCATATTGAATGCTAACATTGTTTGAATTATATTTTGCTTGAAACCATCAGTTTGTGGATTAAATATGATGTCTCTTAAGGCGTATCGTGGAAGTGACATTATTTTGGTCCCATATTTTGCAATTACAAATGCTCTTCTTGTCTCGATGTATGGTTCGGCGCATTCTGCATATAGGCTCTCAATCAGTGATTTTTTATAAGCTCCTGAGTATTTCCTTAATGCAGCATTATGGATCGGTTCAGGAATTTTTAAAATGCTTCTTTTTGAGGTTCCATATGCACATGCTAATATATTTTGCTTCGGATCATTTCTTTATATACCTTTAATAGACTGCTTCTATCAGCTCCCAAACTAGAATGCGAAACACACCTTAGGAGGCCAAGTCTATTTAAAAATTCTTGTTTAAGACCTTATTCACTCCACTTTAAGCCTTTATCAAGTTGGATTCCTAAGTATTTTCAAACAAGATGTCGGTTATCCCTAATTTTAGTTTACATCCTGAAACACTCCTGGCAACATTCGCTGATGACACAGCCATCTTATCTTCCAATCCAGATCCTGAAATAGCATCCTTAAACCTACAAAGTCACCTCTCTCTTATTGAACACTGGTGTAATCAGTGGCGAATCCAAGTAAATGAATCCAAATATATTACTTTTACCCTTCGACGCAATTCCTGTCCACCAGTCTACTTCAACTCCATACCACTTCCTCTGTCCGACACAGTCCGCTATCTTGGGTTTATTCTAGACAAAAGACTAACATGGAACCCACACACCAGACTTAAAAGACAACAACTTAACAGACGATGCGGACAACTATATAGACTATTGAATAGAAAATCTCAACTTTCAGTCGACAACAAACTATTAATCTACTAGACAATCCTGAAACCTATTTGGACCTACGGAATAGAACTGTGGGGGACAGCAAAACTTTCTAACATCAAACGCATTCAATCCTTCCAGTCTAAAATCCTCCGAACAATAGTCGATGCTCCCTTCTATATATCCAACAAAACCCTCCATAATGACCTTCATATCCCATTTGTTATTGACCTAATCCCAGAAAATATTTCCAAATTTCACTAGAAACTCACTCATCATCCAAATCCTGTAGCACAATCCCTATCTAGCTCCAGCCATCCCTACAATCCTCCCCGTAGGTTAAAACGGCAGTGGCCCCGCGACCTTTTGTAAATATGTATATATTGGAGTACTGGCAATGGCCAGATTCTCCACTCAAGACATGAACGTCTGTTGCTATAGTGCCCTCCATCAGTTTCTACTGGTTTCAAATAACAGTGACGCGGCTGAGAGAGAAGCACTGGGATCTCCTAGAGTCCTGTCTTGGCTTCCACATCGGGGAATAAGGCATGACTCAGAGCTTCCTGAGGGTGAATGTAAATATTGTACATAGGTGTGAATGTGATTTATTTACTTTAATTTACTTTACTTTAATCTAGCTTTTATCTATTATTTCTTTTTTTTTTTTTTTTTTTTTTGTACACAGGCATACCAATTTACTTATTTTATTTTTTTTTAAATATTTCTTTTTCTTTATTATTGATATTAATTGTATGTACATGTTGTGTGAATGAATCATGTAGTCTTAATATTAATGCCCTTCAATGTGGCAGAATGTATTTATACTCAATAAAGAAAGTTAAAAAAAAAAAAAAAATTAGTTTAGGATTCGTAGTGCATCCTCTTATTCTGCATATATGCATGGCCTTTGTTTTATTTATCAAACAATTAACCGAAATTTCGTGCCCATTTTTCTGCTTTTCTCAGTGCTTTCTGGAGTTTCCACTCAATAATTTTTTTTTTTATAGAATATTAATATATACTGTCACATTAAAGGGCATTAATATTAAGGCTACATGAATCATTCACACAATATGTACATACAAATAATAACTAAGATAGAAATAATAAAGAAAAAGAAATATAGAAAAATAAAATAACTAAATTAATATGTCTGTGTACAAAAAATGAAATAATGATGTAGAGATGGTTGACCGTTGATATGATATGAGAAGGAATTAGTCGAGGGTGCGGTAAAAAAAAAATAAAAAAAAATTAAAATATATAAATAATTTTAATTTTTGCCGACGTTTCGACCCACTTTGCAGGTCGTCTTCAGGGCGTT